GGGAGAAGGAGAACCCAGTCAAGGTCAGGACTAAGTCTTGGATCATGTTCCTAGATTAGTGTACACAGGGGAGAGGATAGTATGGAAAAAGGGCTTCTAGGAGTTAAGAGCTCAGTGCTTGTACTGAGGGGAGGGCCCACTGCAGATCTGGACTGACCTTTCTGTACTCTTGGCCCCAGTGGGTTGTAACACCCAAGGCTTTGCTCTGTGCTGCTTAGCCACTGCTGCTGCTGCTGTCTGCCCACTGTCTGCCTGCTGCCCTCTCTAGCTCCCTGTCCTTCCATGTCTTTGACCATGTAGATGAATCTAGACATCCTTCCAGTCTTAACCTGTGTTCTGCCAGTATTGTTTTATAGCAGAGTCATGTTGGGTAGGGATGATAAGATATGCTGCTGGTGGGCTGGTGAATCCAAAAGGATGTGGGTGGCTTCAGTGTTGCCAGGAGGCCCTCAGTCCAGATATCTGACTATCTTGAGGGAGAAACAAGCAAGTCCTATTAGTGTTTTTTGTTGGATTTTTTCCTTTGTGGTATCTTGTAATTTGTTTTTAAAATTAAATGAGGGGTACTACCTTAGGACCTGTACAATGTCCCAACAAAGTTCATCTAGCTCCAGTGATGTGGATTCCATGGTTGGGAGAGGGTTTGAAGTCCTACTGAAACAGCCCCTCAGATGGTTTAGTTTTTGTTTGTTTGTTTTGTTTTGTTTTACCCAGTGGGCATCATAGGCGATTTAGGGGGGAGCACAGGATGGTGTGTGATTTAAACCTGTAATAAGCAGGCATACTGAAGAGTTGAGTAATCACACTGGACATGAAGGGTAGACATAGGTTGACTAGGGAAGATCCTGGGTCCACTGGAGTAAAGATAACCTGATTAACTAAATCAGCCATGGGAGATTAGGTCACAACAAAGGACAGAGGCCAAATTTTAGGGGAGATATCTTCTTGGCCTCCTAGGGCTAAGTTTACTAAACCACACTGAAGCTACAATACTTTCTAGATGAGAAAATGTGTACACTACAGTTGAAGAGCTGAACCGTACTAGGTTGAATGTTGATCAGGAACCTATCAGCCCTTGCTGGGAAGCCTTCACCTTCAGCTTCCCCGAAGGTCTCCCACATTATGCAATAATAAAATAAGCATCTGGGTCTTTGCAGCTGTCAGTTGCTCTTTCAACTCTAGGATCCATTTTTGGACCAGAAGCCTGGTCTGGGCCTATACGGACCCTGGCCCTCGAGATGCTAGAGTCGACTGCACTCTCTCCTTATCTGCAGACTATGCACAGTGCCTGGGGTGGAAGGAGGAATGGAGGAGAGGAGGAGAGATGGTGTGGTTTGCCCTGCTGAGCCTCCCCAGCAGGAACAGTAGTAATAAATGCACTTTTCACACTAAAGGTTTCTTTATTAGTTCTTGCGTTAAGCCTAGATCTTCCCCCAGTAGATTGCAAACTCAAGTCTGTGATCCCAAAGCCATTCCACTGCAAATGCCCAGCAGTGAAGATGGCCTCAAATTTGGTTCCTGTCAGCAGTATGTGTGGCAGCAGCCTGTGTGCCTTTACCTATTGTCAAATTTGCAAGCATTTATTTCTATCTTTATGACCGTCATGGGAAATGAGGTTCTTCAGAGAGAGCGTGAGCGAGAGAGAGCTGATGACACGGTGGTTTTACACCCACCCCTGAACAGGGAGTTTGCACGTAGTTGTGAGCTGTGAGTGGTTAGTGTGTTGCTGGTATTGCCGAAGGCAAGGTTGATCCCTCAATTGTTTGATACTCGCATTCAAGAGAATCCAGTCTGTGTTGGGGAAGAGACAGACTGTACTCATGGCTAACTTGAAGTATTAAAATAAGGGTGTCCCCTACAGCCTTCCTAGTCATACAGGATCCCTGTAGCCAAAACAATGTATGTCCCAGCTGCAGAGAGCAGGCTGCTCTCAGCTTGCATAGCACCTTAGGGGAGGGAGGAATCTATGGGTAGGGAATGGGGTGGAGAAAAGATGAGAATGTTGTCATCCAGGTGGCTTTAGGGTCCTAAGGAATAAAGGAGGATGGCACTGGGGAGGTCTGAATGGATCTGGTTTGTGTAGGAGTTCCCTGTAGATAAATTACTGATCCCCAACTACTATCCCCAGTATGTAATGGCTGAATTAATATGTAATCAACTGCATTGTATCTAAAGCCTTAGAACTAGTCAGGTGCTCCCCCCACCCAATACCATTTCTTACCCTCTAATCCTACCTGATCTTTAACAAAGCATTAATAATTCTAAGGATAATCTCTATTTTGTTGTGCTTTTTTGTAACTGTTTTAAATAAATCAATTTGTACTGTATATTTGTACTTTTGTGAGATCCTTTTTGCTGTTTTACCATTTTAAGTCTCTGTACTTGGCTACACACAGATTGTATTTTTATTGTTAATGCTCTTCTTATGGATACCTGCATTTAACTTGTGGACTATGTAAACACAATATATATATCAATATCTATATATCTATATATCTATCTATATAAACTACTAGCTTTTCCTTTTGGTGTTTGCGCCTCCTTCCTATCCCAGTGTTAGATGGTGGCCATTGGGTGGCGGATAGAAACCCTCTGTGGGAGCACATGTAATGGAACACTAATGGTACGTCTCCAGGTGGCAAGCGCTGGGCAGATGGCATGAGCTGGTTCTGAACATGTTCTGTGTCTGTTGATGTTTATTTCAAAAACCAGTAAGTCTACCTGTAGACGTAATGTTAGCAGAGTCCATCACCAGGATCTGTAGGTGTCCTCACTGTGCGCCTTTTCCCCAATTTTCTTTACTCACTAATACTGCCAGAAATTGCCGGAATAAGTCAGCCCCAATCATAGCTACTGCTTCTAACTTAGAAAGCTTGCCACTAAGTGGTGAAACACTCAGATACATCATAGTGACTCAGATACATTTATGGAACACTTTGCTATGTACCATAAATCATCCTAAGTTTTTATATATAAACAGTCATTTGTTGCTAATATTATTTTCATTTTGTGGGTGGAAAACTCAAGATACTGAGGTTAAGTAGCTTGTCAAAATTACACAGTAAATGGCAGGGCAAGCTTGAACCAAGGTATCTATCTCTGGAGTTTGTATTAACTCAGAGTTTGTGAAAATTAAATGAGGAGGGCCGGCAGGGGGTGTGGTTGTTAAAGGTGCTGGATTCCCACATGGCCGACTGTGGTTCAAGTCCTAGACCTGGCAGCTTGTTTTCTCCCTTTATCTCTCTCGCTGTCTCTCTCTGGTCAAATTTAAAAAATAACAGCAGCAAATGAAAATAAATGATTCCTAAGAAAAACATTAAATGAGGGACCAGCAACTAGTGTAATGGCTATGTCACTGGACTCCCATGTAGTCGACCATGGTTCAAGTCCTGGACCCGGTGGCTTAAAAACTCATGCCAGGCACGTGTGCATGTGTGCCCAAGATCCCGAGAGGAGAATGGAGAAGGGATTGCGGCATGGCCATCCCCTCTGGGGGGTGATTTCTCGTTTTCTGTCTCTCTGTCTGTCTGGCAAGCACATGTGCCCTATGGCAAAAACCTCTCCAAAAAAAAAAAAAAAAATTAAATGAGAATATCTGTGTAAAGGGCTCAGGATAATCTTGGGCACATAGTGAGTGCTCAGCCATTTTGAAATATCCTAAGTAGAACTTAGTTATTTGGATCAATTAAGTTCTTCCTTTTGAATGTATTTTTTAGAGCAAGTATTTCAGCCAGCCTGGTAGGAATTAACCCTAGTTTAGTGGGAGTCAGTTGATGCTACTAACAAGCCTTGGCCCTCTGGAGGTCAGAGAGGAGTCCACCTTTCCCTATTGTACTATTGGAAGAGGTCTACATTCCTGGCATAGTTATTTTTTCTGTCTACAAGTTAACTAGGGCACTTCCTTCTGGAACTCAAGACCTATAATTATCTAAACTGTAAGTAACCTTTAGTGAAGGCTAAGGAAGTCCGTGCTTGTTTTGTACCATCACAGAAACTTTTTAGAAATGACCTCAGCTCTTATCTCTATGGCTCGGCAGTTGTACAAATTGCCAGGGTAGTCATGTTCTAGACTTTACCATTATCAATGTGAGATCTCCTATCACCTTAATCTTAGATTTTCCTCCATGGGTTTTATTATCCTGTCTTGGCTCTGGGGAGTAAAGGAAAAGGTGGATTGCCTTTTCTGTCACTCAAGTTCCTTGCTGCTATGGACCTTAATATTGAAGCCCTTTCTTTTTTTTTTTTTTTAAATTTTTTGAGGGGTTTTTGCTATAGGGCACGTGTGCTCGTCAGACAGACAGAGAGAGAGACAGAGAGACAGAAAGCGAGAAATCACCCCCCCAGGGGGGAGGCCACACCGCAATCCCTTCTCCTCCATTCTCCTCTCAGGATCTTGGGCACGCACGCACACGCACCCGGCGTGAGTTTTAAGCCACCGGGTCCGGGACGCGAACCGCGGTCGACTACATGGGAGTCCAGTGACATAGCTATTACGCTAACTGCTGGTCCCTTAAAGCCCTTTCTGTGGACATATTGCTGGATGCAGCCCTGTCCTGTCTGGACTAGAATTGTGTCTGACAAACTGCCTTTGCTGGGAAAGGTAGCCTGGGCCTGAAGTAATGCACTGTCTTCAGAAAACTTTGCCAGTTACGAGGAAAGGCTTCTACTACGTCCAAGTCTGGAGAAGGTAAGGTAGGTTTAGATCGCCCTTGGGACCGTAGGTATCTTCATAATGGCCATGGGACTAGATCCTCACAAAGTCAGCATCAACTCTGTCATCACTGTCAGTTATTCCTCATCAACTTGTAAAAACCCAAAGAAGGTTCCTCTGTTTGAACAGCCTAAGTGGAGGAGCACCATCCCTCAGAAAAAGGGCAAGTCCTCATAAGTCACTGCCTAAAATCTCTGGAGTCTGTCCTAAATCAAGTTTTCTGCAAGAATGAAACTGAAAGAAAAACAGGAAAGGGCCAGTAAAGATAAAATTAATTTATTTGCCCTCACAATGTCATGAGCTGCACGGGGGCCTCACAGTCCTATGAGAATGGCCTGCAGCAGGGGCTGGGGAGTCCAGTTCTTTGGAGTGCTTGCTCCCTCATCCAGAGCTACCTTGAGTCAGGTCCCTCTGAACCCATCAACCTGCTCCCACATGCAAGGGGTGTATAGCTCTGCCTGCCACAAACCCAGATCTGTCTCTGGCAGCCAGGACAGAGCCTTGTGGGTGGCTGCAGCACTGATCCCTGTGGACTTGGTGGGGAGGCTGGGTGAGTGGGAAGGCAGGCAGGAGGACATGGTTCAGTGCAGAGAGCTGTTGTTCTCCTCAAAAGCCATTTTGCCCAGAAGCTGGCTGTCCAACTCCACCCCACTCACGGGTAGCTGGAAGAAGTTCATTTCAGCTGCTAAGGCTGCCATGGCAGAAGGGTCCTGGCCAAACTGAGCTCGCAACATCATGTCCATTTTCTCCAGCCGCCTCTTGAGCCGCTTGGCCTCTCGCTCACGGATGAGCCGGGCCTGCCTCTTCTCTGGGGTTTCATTGGCCCGCTTCAGCCTCATGGCCTCTCGATCCCGCTGCAGCCGCCGTGCTCGCTGCTCGTCTGTCTCCTGCATACGCTGCAGGCGTTTAGCTTCCCGGTCCCTCATGCGCCTCACCTCCCGCTCCTCAGGGGTTTCATTGTCCCGCCGGCTCTTCTTGGCCGTGCGCTCTCGTTCCAGCCGCTGCAGCCTTACTTCCAAAGGCTCGTTCTGTCGCCGTAGGGCCCACTTGCGTACACTGGGGGTCTGTGCCTCCAGTAGCTTACGGTAGGCAGCACAGTTGTTACACACCAGCAGAATTCCAGCAGGGTACACGGGAGGACTAAAGGCAATGTCCTTGCCCTCAGTACTAGAGGGGCCCTCGCTGTGGGCTGGGGGTAGGGATTCCAGATTAAGTACTTCAGGAAGTTTCTCACTGGAAATCACAAATTTTAGATGGTTAATGTTTCCTTCTAGCAAGGGCTCAGGTATCCCATCCTGACTTGACTTATTCTTTCCTACCAGGCTAGTTGCTACAAGTTCAACACTAGGGGTCAGACTGAATGCTGGGGTGCTCTCTTTTGCCTCTCCACCCCTTTTCCTCTGTAGGCCAGAGTGGCTACCAAGTTTCAACATGCACCCAGTTAGAGACTGAGTCAGCTGCTACAGCAACCCACCAGATATCAGGAGAATCTTCACAGTGTGAGGCTTTCGTTCAAGCCAGAGTGATGGTGTTTGGTAAGAGCTGTGCAGGGGCAGCCCCACTGTGAGAATGGAGGGTCCTAGAGCTAGAGGCTTCTTTCAGGCAAAATGTGAAAAGACTTCAAAAAATTCATGGGAAAATGGAGTTAAAGTACAAATTTATTTTGATGCAAAAAAAAATTGAAATCCATGCATCATTTTATTCATAATACACATTTTCTACAAGTGGTCTGAAGACCCCTTGTACAGTTCACAGACTCTTCTCTTCCTCCCCTCACACTGAAAAGGCAGTCTGCCTTGTGTACCTTGTGTACGAGATGGGGATCCAATGTTTATACAGTTCCAGTCCCCTAGGACAGAGTGGAGACTGTCCTTTCAAAAGCCTGTAACTTCTTTCTCAGTGCTTTGTAATGAATGTTCTTGCATTTCCTTACAACTATTGCTAACTGAAAATATTATTCTGATGAGGCAATAAATGGAAATTAATTTCCCTTCCAAATGGTCATGAGTTAGTTGCTTGTGCATTACCTATCTCTAGCCTTGGCTCGGGAAAGCAGAACCCACACCCAGTAGTTTGCTCCCAGCACAATGGTTAGGTGCCCAACTGACCTGTTAAAAGTGGCATGGCTAGTGAAACGGGCTCCACACACAGCACAGTTAGACCGCTGGTCCTCCGAGTGGATTAGGAGGTGGCGACCCAAGGACCCTGGGGAGCTAAGGGCCCGGCCACAGACAGGACACATGTAGCTCTTGGCGCTCACCACTGCTGCAGTGTGCTGTAAAACAGAGCTTTCATCTGTCAACTCTGCGCTATCTCGAGGGCAATCCACCATTCAGAAACTACTTCTGGGAAATGTCCCCTTTCCTTAATCTTAGAACAAGTTTCCTCAAACTTGCAACTATTGTTTCACTCCTAGAGGAGTCACCATCTCTTACAGGCCTTCAGAGGACCTGGCTTTTCAGACCACTGCTCAGATTTCACTAACAACTTCTGACTACATCCTGGGACATGTGGCTGGAAGGAGGAACAACAGGGCTCCAGAGCCAGAGCCCTCTTTCTCCAAAACCTGAGAGGAACTCATGCTTGAGATCCTCTCTTTCTCTCTGGCTCACTATGCAGGTACGAGCACATGTGAAAGACAGCGACATAAGCCAGTCCAGAAGTTGGCTGGAGATGCTGGTAAGCAACAGGTATTTATGCCTTGCTTCCTCTCAATCTTTTTTTTTTCTTTTTTTTTGGAGAGGTTTTTGCTATAGGGAGCGTGCACTCACCAGAAAGACAGATAGATAGAAAGTGAGCAATCACCCCCAGGGGGGATGGCCATGCTGCAATCCCTTCTTCATTCTCCTCTCAGGATCTCGGGCACACATGAACATGCACCCAGAATGAGTTTAAGCCACCAGGTCCAGGACTCAAACCGTGGTCAACTACATGGGAGTCTAGCGACGTAGCCATTACACCATCTGCTGGTCCCTACTCCTCTCAATCTTTTAATGACAGTCTTCTGAAGAGCTATTCCTCATGAACCAACTATCTTGATGGTACAACCCAAGCTGCCATGTATGCTGATGCCTTGTCAATACAGAGTGTCAGGCACAGGTGCTCAGCGATTGGATCAGGGTAAAAATAACACAGAAGTCTTACTTCTGATCACCTCATTTACATCAACTTCCACTGGTATTTCAGAAACATTTATGTTAACTAATTTTTAAATTTTAAACAAAGCCCTCACTAATAGATGTTATTTTTTAAAGAATTATTTATTTATTTATTTCTATTTGTTATTGTTCTTTTTTCTTTATTTGACGAGATAGACAGAGAGAGAGAGAGAAAGTGAGAAAGCAAGCCACCAGGTCCGGGACTTGAACCATGGTTGGCCATGTGGGAATCCAAGCACCCTTATCCACCACACCACATGCTGGCCCCAATAGATGTTAGTCTTAATGCATATTGGAGATATGAATGAAATAATTTAGGGAAAAGATAATGATACTTAATTTTCACAGTGTGTCTGCCTGAGAACCCAACATATTCTCCAAAGCGTTCTGGGGATTAATGGCAGCAACACCCCATGATTCCTTCAGGAGCCAGAGGCAAAGGCCAAAGCAAGAACCAGGCTACAAATAAGCTGCCAGTGCAGAGCACACAGCTCCTCAGGCCGTACCTGGTACACATGAGCGATGAGCTGCTCCCGACTCCCACAGTCCAGCTGGCAGAGGGGACACTGGCAGAGTTCAAGCAAAGGGTCAGAGTTCAAATTTTCTGTGACCTGCAATTCAACGGACAACTCATTAAGACTCTTCATTAGTCTCTGTCCTATCCCCACCCCTTTTAACAAGGTATCCTGTTAAGAGGAACATACTCTGATATCACCCATTATTCTCAGGTTCCTACCATAGGCTGAAGGAAAAAGTTACGGTTGAAAGGGAAATTTGCTCCCATCTTCGTGTGTGTGTGTGTGTGTGTGTGTAGGTATTTTTCTTTTTTTGGAGGGGATTTTTGCTATAGGGAGCGGGCGCTCGCCAGACAGACAGAGACAGAGAGACAGAAAGCAAGAAATCACTCCCCCAGGGGGGATGGCCACACTGCAATCCCTTCTCCTCCCTTTTCCTCGCGGGATCTTGGGCACGCACGCACACGCACCCTGCATGAGTTTATGCCGCTTGGTCTGGGATGCGAACTGCGGTCGACTACATGGGAGTCCAGCGACATAGCCATTATGCTAACTGGTCCCAGGTGTGGTATTTTTTTAGACAGGGTCTCACTGTGTTGGGATCCTCCTGCCTCAGCCTCCCGAGTAGTTGAAATCATAGGCATACATCACCGTGCCCAGCTCCATCAGACAGGGTCTCATTATGTTGCCTACACTGGCCAGGAGTTCTCTCCATCCTCCTACCTCAGTCTCCAGAGTCCATCTTTATCTTTTCCAAGGCTCTCTGCCATAAAGACACAGGACTGCCTCCAAGAGAGCTGATCTATTTTTTTCTCCTAAGCTAAACAAAGGATTAGCCTCCCTCCCATCACACTCCTTGCAGAAATCCTCAGGAAACAGCTTAGTGAGAAGATAGAACCTCAGGCAACACTCTGACTTAACTTTGTAAGCATATTCAAAAGTACACCCTTGGAAATTAAGTTTTTGTCTTGCAAAGGTAGCTTTTCTGTCTGAAAAGAAGTGGGCAGCTTTACGGAGGAGAGTTGCATGTGGGAGCAGCGATATGTAGGTATGAAGACTGTGGGCTGAGGTGTGGGTTCCAGTGCTATGAAGGAAGAGGCTTGCTATGAAGACCTAGAACACTGTCAGAGAAAAGACAGTGTCCTCGGGGTGAGCGCATCAGGGCAGAGGAGTAGGGTAGGACATTTCGGACACAGGAGCCATTTGTCACTTGCCTCATGCTCTACCATTTCATTCCCACCAGTAGGCTGCTCTGCATGTTCTAACTCTTTTTCCACCTTGACCACCCCTCCATCTTCCTCGGATGTGTGGGAAGATACTTCATCTTGTGTGGTCTCCTCTTCATCACCCTCACTGTCACCTGGAACACATAAACTGGTCATTTGTTTTGATTTTGCATGAATACAGCCTGAACTGCTACCCACCCTACAATTTGCAACTCCAATGGAAGACATTTTTAGATCTTCAGTAATATAGTTTGTACTGGTGCTTAGTTGAGTATAAATCGTATTAAGTGCAATCTAGCTGTAGTGGCTATTGATTATGCCATATAAAGCGAACATCTGAAATATTTTCAACACATCAAAACAAAACCAAAAAAAGAGCATCTGAGGCAAAATTGCATTGGAAAATGGTTATTGGGCCCTCTACAGTATCATAAAAATAATTTTTTTACTGCATGGTTCTCAAATTTCTCACACTTCACATCGCACCTCCCCAAGCATGTCATATTGACATTCCCATAACAGGCCACTTCTAACTTATCAACACTTCTCACTGATTTTACTACTTGCTTTTTCTAAAGACTCCTGCACAATTTTTCCCTGGTGCCACATATACCGTTGTAGTCTGAGCTCTATTCATTGGTTCTCCCAACAAACCTCAAGGCACACCTATAGAAATACCAGCTAGTTTTCTTTCACTTAGTAGTAAAGGATACAATAAGAAATTAGTTAAAAATGATGTCACTTTATAGGGCAGCTGCTGTTCATTATAGTGGGAAAATTAGCAGAGTGTCCAACCTTAGCAGTCCACAGTAGTGTCTTACTCTGGCTAGTGAGGCAGTGCTCTGAGCTAAGAAAGTCCATTGTTTCTGTGATCCTTTAGATTATCTGATGATTGACTGAATGGATTAAGTGGAAGGATTGGGCCATTTTCACTTTAGGATAAAATCTAATTTTTTTTGTGACAAAAGCAAGAATTGAGTCTGTGGGCCAGCTGGTGGCATGGTGGCTAAGATGGCTGGATCCCACATAGCCTACTATGTGATTTGAGTCCAGGACCCAGCTACTTGAAAAATACACCAGGCACATGTGCATATATGCATGCCTAAAATCCCAAAAGGAGAATGGAGAAGGGATTGGGCATAGTCATCCCCCCCGGGGGTGCTTTTTCACTTTTCCCCTCTCCCTTTTTCTCTGGTGCACACATGCTCTATAGCAAAATTAAAAAAAAAAAAAAAAGTTTTAGTTTGGGGAGCAGGATGTGTCTGTGGGTAGGTTTGCCTGTACCTAGAGAATGTGCAAGGTTGTGTCAGCTGATTTTTTCCTCTATAAAAGAGAAGGAAATAGTTATTAAAACTCCCTATTATAATAAAGGGAGTTCTTTTTGAAAATAAAAAGAACTTGAAGATCACAAGAGGAAGCTAAGCCTAGAGAAGCTGTCAGATTCTAGGTCTATGGGAACCCCACCTGGATCCTGGACTTCTGGATCTGATGTGAACAAGACAGAAATGCAGGGTAGAGTCTCAATAGACTCCTTGTCTGCAATGAGACTTAGATTTCCAAGCCAATAGGGCTGCTTGTCTTCTCTCTCCTATCCCTTACATAATTTCTAAATCCACCAGTATCTGGGCAAAACCTGTTACATTTTCCTCCTTCATGGTAAAATCTGGTTACATTCTTCATGAGAAAGTCCAATCAAATCATTTGCTAGTGGTTACTTGTCTATATTAGCTACTGCAGCAAGTTGGTGGGCAAAATTTGGGCACTAGGAAACTACAGGATGTAGCCTGGTGAGTAGCAGTTCCTAATTCTTCAGCCCAAAGCTTCCTTATGTTTGAATTCATCCTCAATAATGAAAGATTAGCTTAGATTATATTATACTGTGTTTTCTCACCAGTTCAACTAAGATATATTTTGTAATATATCTCTCTATAAGAATGTTTTTAATTGCCAGGGCACGTATACTTGCCACAGAGAAATAGAGAGATAGAGAAGGAGAGGGGGAGGGAGAAAGCACTGCTCAGTATGCCATGTCATACCACAATACCTTCACCTTCATTTCTCCATCCTGTTGGGATATAGGGCATGCATACATATGCACCTGGCATATTTTTCAAGTTGCCAGGGGGACTGATATTTGAGCCATGGTTAGCCATGTGAATCCAGCTCACTTAACCACTAGGCTACAGAGCCAGACCAGAAAGATTTTTTTTTTTTTTTGGAGCGGTTTTCGCTATAGGGCGCGTTCGCTTGCCAGACAGACAGAGACAGACAAAGAGAGAGAAAGTGAGAAATCACCCCCCAGGGGGGATGGTCACGCTGCAATCCCTTCTCCTCCATTCTCCTCTCGGGATCTTGGGCATGCACGCACATGCGCCTGGCGTGAGTTTTAAGCCACCGGGTCCGGCATGCGAACCGCGGTTGACTACATGGGAGTCCAGCGACATAGCCATTATGCGAACTGCTGGTTCCCAGAAAGATTTTTTTAAATCATATGTGCTATCTAGAGGGATGCTGCATCTTTTCCAGAATGGAAACCTATCAGATTTTTGTACATGTTGTTAATCCTACCTGTCACTAAAGAAACTGGTGGCTCCCACAGGTTTTCTAGAAATCTTAGGGTTCATTTTTCTGTACCACAGCAAGTAATTGTTAAACTATTTTGTTGTTGTAACTTAATTATTATTTTTGGTAGAAACTAATTAGTTTGGGTGAAAACAAGTTCCTAGGAGATTACAGAAGTCTCTCCTCTGTTCTCCCCTAGCCTCAAATGTGAAGAAATATCAGAACTGTTACTATGAATTGACAGTAATAACGAATGTCAAATGGATGACATCAGAAAAGTGTGGAAATCTCCCTAGGAAATGACATATCTCAAAATGTGTTTGTTCAGGCAGGTCATAGAATAGACAATTCATGAGCTTCAACTTATAACATCTACCATCTTTTCTATCTCTTAACCACAGGGCTCTACTTAAGGCACTGCTAATAATGTCATTACTAAGCAAACCTTTCTGTATCACATTAAAACTGGGCCCTTGAGCAAGAGTTCATTAATTCCATCCTTACATTTTATTAATTACAAATAAATAGATCCTATAAGACAGGAACTTTTTCTTCTTTTCATTTGTCCTTACCTAGAGGCTATTTAAGCACTGATTATTCCTATGTCCCTGTCTATCACAATCATCACAAACTTCTCTGTGAACGACATTATGCCAAACACTAGTCCATGAGTTTAAAAACATAATACCACACCTGTCTGTTCTCTGGAGAAGCACATGCCCACACACCAGCATATGCATACCTTTGGGGACACTGAGAAAACAGATAACTCCTTTTTGTCTTCCTCCCAACCCCCATGCAAATCCCCAGAGCACACACACTCTGATAATTCTTCTCCCATTGCCCTGAGTCATTACCAGAAGGTGCAGAACTCACTGCTACTGGAGTCCTGATCTCTTAGTTGTTGGATAGCTTGTCGCTGACTGCCAAGGTCTCCAGGAAAATCAGTTTTCATCATCGCCTGGCGGGCTTGCTCTTCTAGCCCAGCAAATACTTGATCCCCTGGTGGTCACAAGGAAAAATAGTCAGGCCACCAGCTGGGCAGCACATCCCCAGGCAAGCTGGTTAGGTCAGACCATGCGAAGGTAGGAGACAGGCAGGTACCCTGTGCTGGGTCATACACCTCCAAGTCAGCTTGCTGCCTCTGACAGCTTCTGGGTGCAGCTACACTTACTGGACAGGAAGGAAGCCAGATGCTCTAGAAAGTGTCACTTGCTTCTCTTAGATCCTCCTATCCTTGACCCCTTTCAAAAGGTGATGAGCTGCTACTTCACCAATTTAACTATGGAATCTTAATTTCATTTACAACCCTCCATAGGGAAGATAGAGGTAAGAAAGGCAAAGTGATAGGTGAAATCGGGGCAACAAATCTAGGGAAAATCTCTGTCTTTGTATACTAACCAGCATTATGGGTCTCACTCTATCTCTGACTACGAACAAGTGCTTCAAATAATCGTTCTAAATAGCAATCTCTCTAATTTCACCTTTCATCCACTCTCCTTCCAAAACATGCTTTTCTTTGACTATCATAATTAGCCATGAAAAAATCCAACTGGTTAAATAATTAACTAGAAGAAGAAAAGATAACATATCTGTTCTGCTGAGGAAAAATCTTCCTGAAATATAATGATTAATTTACAACAATCACTGGGACCAGCAGATGGTGTAATGGTTATGTCACTGGACTCCCACATAGTTGATTGCGGTTCAAGTCCCAGACCTGGCAGCTTAAACTCATGCCAGGCCCATGTGCATGTGTGCCTGCCCAAAATCCCAAGAGGAGAATGGAGGAGAAAGGATTGCAGCATGGCCATTCCTCCTGGGAGGCAATTTCAGGCTTTCTGTCTCTGTCTCTCTCTGTCTTTCTGGGTAGCACATATACCCTATAGCAAAAACCTCAAAAACATTTTTTTTTACAATTACTATTCATCTAATCTCCTTGGTTTCATGTATGTATATATGTATGTATATGTGTGTGTGTTTTGGTATGTAGTAACCAAAACCCTGGACCCATCCTTAACTTTACATTTACCTTTCTCTCTTACTTTTTTTTTTTTTTTTTAAAGAAGGAGTCTTGCTATCTCATAATACTCCTGCCTCTGCCTCCAAAGTCACTGGTATTATAAGGGTGTAACTATGTCAAGCTTTTAGGGTGGGCCAGGAATCAAACCCGGGCCTCCATTATGATCTCAGCTTGCTGAATTGCAGCATCTACCAATGTATGCTGCTGTGGCTGGACTGTGCATTTCCTTCTGATAAACTCTGCCTGGGATCCATGGGGTTAGTGAAGAGTTAACATTTAAGTACTCTTTTATTTCCAGGAGAAAGGCATAAGGAGGAAAGAGTTAGGTTTCTCAAGGTTTCCATTATCTCAGTCAGAATGGAAACTATAGCCCCCATTCCCCAGCCAGCAAGAGGGAACAGTAAAAGGCTGTAGTGATGTTTGACAATAGGCCAGCCCCTTTCTTACTCAACAGAGAAGAGAAAGTAAACAGGCTTAGATTCTGAGACAGGATATTCCAAGACAGGAGACAGAATACAGTGATGTAGGAGGAATGAACTGGTAAGCTGACCATCTTTACTAGTCTTTGGGCAGCAAATCAATTATGTGAAGCAGGTATCATGCGATTCACTTAGTCACTCAGCAAATATTCATTGAGTATCTACTATATGCTAAATACTGAATACTACCTGATAGTTACAGTTTGACACTTGCTAACTCCAGACTCTTTGTTAAGTGCTTTATAACCCTCATTCCACCTTAATTCTCTGCAAAACTCTATTTGGTAGGCATAATATAGGTTTACTACCTATATTTTACTAAGGAGAATATGAAGGCCTGAAACCAAGTATTTCAATACTGGTGTGTCCAACTCTCGTGTCCTTATTTTTTAACGGCTTTCTAGTAGCCATGTAAGTAGAAAAGTTTGAAGTGTGACAAGAATGGTTTTGCTGAAAATACATTTGTCTTTGTATGTAAAATGGTTCTGATGCTAGTATTAGTGTCACCTTCATACCAAGAGAAACTGATACAGACAACTCAGCTATCAAAATAACGTTCATAATGCCAGTATATGACAGAAGGAAAAGTGATGGTTCTGATAACACGTCATGAATTACCATGCCTGGATTAGAGAAACTAACATTATGGTTATTATGACTCATACTGTGGGTGGGAATGGAGGTGGTCAGTGTTAAAATGTATTCCTAACTAAAAACCCTCACTTAAAGAAAAAAATAAGCTGCTTTAAGTCCATCTTCACAGTATCCAAGATGACACACTGGATATAAATTATCACTAGAGAAAGAAAAATGAATTGTGTTAGAGTGCTTCCTCTTTTCCTTCCTTACTTTTTTTTTTAGGTTTTTGCCATAGGGCACATGCATTGACCAGAGAGAGAGAAAAAGAGAAGTCACCCCCTCCCCAGAGAAATTGCCATTTTCTTCATTCTCTAGGAATTTTAGGCGCACACACACACGGGCCTGGTGTGATTTTGAAGCCACCAGTCCAGAACTCGAACTGCACAACTGGCCACATGGGATCCAGTGCCTAAACCTCTATGCCATCTGCTGGCCTGGTATTTGTCTTTTTTAAAATTTTGTTTGTGATAGAGCATGTTCATGTACACGCAAGAGTGAGAGAGAGAGGAACACCCTCCTCAGGGTCTGGTCATGCCATGATCTCTTCCCTCCAGTTCTCCAGCCCATCAGATCCCGGGCATTTGTACACATGCCTGGCATGTTTTCAGGATGACTGGCTAGTGATTCAAACTTTAGGTGCTATGTGGAATCCAGCTTCTCCAAGAGCACATTACTGCGATGCCATGGAAGCCAGTCCTATCTCTATTAACTTGTGAAAAAGTCATCTAGACTCCATAATAAAAAGAAAGGTGCCACCACTTCTTTTTTCCTGTGACATCAAGATACAGTTTGTTGGGACCAGCAGTTAGCATAATGGCTGTGTCGCTGGACTCCCATGTAGTTGACTGCTGTTCGCATCCCAGACCTGGTGGCTTAAAACTCACGCCGGGCACATGTGCGTGCGTGCCCAAGGTCCCAGGGGGAGAGAATAGAGGAGAAGGGATTGCGGCGTGACCATCCCCCCTGGGGCGTGATTTCTCGCTTTCTGTCTCTATGTCTCTCTCTGTCTGTCTGGCGAGCGCACGTGCCCTATAACAAAAACCTCTCCAAAGGAAAAAAAAAGATACAGTTTGTCTCTGATTTGGCTAAGGTTTTTCAGACCAGATAAGAACAAGGCCATGCAAGTAAATTTAGAAACAGATGAAAAGACTGCAAGGAAAGCTATTAGGAAGGCAAGGATTTTACAATTCTCTAACATCCTTGGTCCAATTAAATAAATGCAATTCCAGGCTATCTGAAATTAAGTAAAGCTGTTGAAATGTGTTTTCTGAGAGCACACATGTCAGGTTTAGAAAAAATGAGCTAGTATTGAGATTGAGGTTAAGATTCCATTTCTAGTTGACAGTCTTTGTAACCCAAGGTGCTATCACATGTTGGGAATGTAGCCATTTACCTCACAAAGATGTTAACAAAATGAATGAAGACAAAGAATGTGAAAGGCTTTTATTCTCCTTCTCTGTGAAAAGCTTTTAGTTGAAGTTGAAGGATTTTAGCCTCTGAATTTGCAATCTAGAAGTGAAAGTCTCTAAAGAGAAAGAAACTTTTCTTAGTAGTTTGCTTGGCTCAATCATATTAAATGAAAGTGTATAAGGGACTGTATTTTCAACCTCTTTAGAAACAGCTGATAGAAATGTGTACTCAAAGGGAAGTGAGATGGGGAAGGAGGTAAGGAAGAAGGCCTAAAACGGAGATCTCAGCCCGTCTGTAGCTTCTTCCTGACTAACGATTCTAGGCTTTTATTCCAAAAGCTCTGCATCGAGTCTAGTCATGAAGTGGGAAAAGCACAGAAGTCTGTCTAGATTATTTCTGGGGAAAGGATCATTCCAGTAATTTAGATACAAGAACAGTCTGGAGGAAAACCACGTAAATGTCAAAGCAGCCTGCCCATTGGCTTCTACAGTGGATCCGACAAATGCTGCTGGGCTACAGCGGCAAGATTCTTAATATACCCTTTAGGGGGCTTTTAGCTTCATACCATGCAATCTTCTTCCCAGAAGGCAGATCTAGTGAAGCTCAGCCACTTCTCTGCTCAAGTGTTGATTGAATCTGACATTTAAGCAAAGCTTTTGCAGACTTTCCTGCCTTCCAGACCTTGAGTCCATTCCCTTTACTTTAAATAGATAAGCAGCATTAACTTCAATACATTTGATTGGTTCCATTTCACTGCAAGGTGATAGACTCCAGAGGTCAGAAAACTAAAATTACCTATTTTTACTTGCCATTATTATAATGAACAATGAAAAGATGATCTTTTGAAAAGGGTAGAGTCAGCGGGACCAGCAGTTGGCATAATGGCTATGTTGCTGGACACCCATGTAGTCAACCGCAGTTCGAGTCCTGGACCCGGTGGCTCAAACTCACGCTGGGCGTGTGTGCCCATGATCCCAAGAGGAGAATAGAGGAGAAGGGATTGTGGCGTGGCCATCCCCACTGGGGGGTGATTTCTTGCTTTCTGTCTCTCTGTCTCTCTCTGTCTTTCTGGCGAGCACAAGTGCCCTATAGAAAAAAAACTCTCAAAAAAAAAAAAAAAAAAAAAAGAAAAAAAAGGAGAGAGCGAAAGAAAGAAAAGGGTAGAGTCGTCAGCTTTAGCCCCTAAATAGACAATCTGTCAAAACTGGCAAATCTTGGGCTAGCCCTCATCCTAGTGGTTAAGGGAATAGATCCCATGTGGTTAACTATAGTTTGAATCCAGCTACAGCTAAAAACAAAAACACTGGGTGCCTGTGCCTGTGTGCCTAATATCCTGATGGGGTGTAGAAATGGAGAAGGGACTACAGCATGACCCAACTCTATAATGGGTACTTTCTCTCTGGCTAGCATGCCTACCCTCTGGCAATTAAAGAAGAAAGAAAACCAGCCAATTTATGTCTTTTCTTCTCTGATCAGCTTAATCCCTTACAAGAAGCCTTTACAGTTTGCTGACCAAAGCTGACCAAATGTATCATTTGAAAATAGTCCCTCCCTCGGGGCCTGCTCCTTAGTTGCAGCTGAACGTTTGTGTTCACACCCCATAGGAAAGGCCCTGCTAGCAGTCACCATGAGGACCCTGCAAAGTCTCACCCACTCCATCACACAACAGTGTTGACAAGCTTGACTCTGGGAACTGCATTTCTGCAAGTATGGATGTGTGATTCTCCCCTCCACCCTGGTCTCTTTATCCATCTGTTTTTCAACTCTAATACCAACTCATCTCAGCTTTGACGGTGCTGGAAGATATGGCTGATGGATATATGCTATGTGGACGCAGGCATGGCACAAAAACCCTTCCTAGCTCCTCTGGCCTTGCTATTACCATGCCATCACCCACCAGCTACCTCTCTCAATCTAAATTCAGGTGGCTTTCTTTTTTTTTACATAGTTATTTAATTTTATTAATTTATTTTAATTTGACCAGAGAGACACATGCAGAGAGAGAGAGGGAAAGTGAGAAAGCAAGTCACCAGGTTCAGGACCTGAACAATGGTCAGCCATGTGGGAGTGTCCGGCACCTTTACCACCACACCACCTGCTGGTCCCAAATTCAGGTGGCTCTTATAGGTGAATACTCAACTCTATAACCGCCTTATTTATGAACCCACCATCTCTACTAAGAATACCATTCCTGCCCTGCATTCTTTGGGCTGCATCTGTGTTTTATCACCCATAATCTTCAACCAGAGAGGAAAAGAGTCCCCCCAAACCCTCATGTTAGATGACCTTTGCTAGAGACCCTGCATTTTGTCTCCCTTGACAGTCCTTACATTCAAGTCCATTGCATGTTAATGCTTTGGCAGCAATTTCTAAATCCTTTCTAGACCACTCACCTTTATGTTAAGTTCCCTTGCACATCCACCTATTCCAGAATACATACCTAGATGCATCCAACTGGTTCCATTTTACACAACTTTCCTAGGACTCAGAGGAACAAATTGTACATGGAGGTTTGCTATCTTAATCTCATTTATCTATTAGGTGTCAAAGCCCTCCTAATTCTTTTATTCATGCTATTTTCTACTCTGGAAGGTACTGTTAATACGATACATAGTGCCTGGCATATCATAGGATTTTAATAAATTTTACTTCTCTTATATTAACTCCATGACTATTTCATCCTCTAAAATAGAGTTGTTTGCTTAAAAAAAAATATGGTCAGGAACCAGTAGTTGGCATAATGGCTATGTTGCTGGACTCCCATGTAGTCAACCGCGGTTTGAGTCTCAGACCTGGTGGTTTATACTCATGCTGGGTGCGTGTGCATATGTGCCAAAGATCCCGAGAGGAGGGAACCAGCAGTTAGCGTAATGGCTATGTCGCTGGACTCCCACGTAGTCGACCGCGGTTCGCGTCCCGGACCCGGTGGCTTAAAACTCACGCCGGGTGCGTGTGTGTGCGTGCCCAAGATCCCGAGAGGAGGGAACCAGCAGTTAGCGTAATGGCTATGTCGCTGGACTCCCACGTAGTCGACCGCGGTTCGCGTCCCGGACCCGGTGGCTTAAAACTCACGCCAGGCACGTGTGCGTGCGTGCCCAAGATCCCAAGAGGAGAATGGAAGAGAAGGGATTGCGGTGTGACCATCCCCCCTGGGGGGTGATTTCTCGCTTTCTGTCTCTCTGTTTCTCTCTGTCTTTCTGGTGAGCTCATGTGCCCTATAGCAAAAACCTCTCAAAAAAAAAGAAAAAAATATGGGCTATGGGGCCAGTAGGTGGCGTGGTGGTTAAGGCGACTGGACTGCCACATGGCTGACCACAGTTTGAGACCTGGACCTCGTGGCTTGCTTTTTCCCCTTCTCACTTTCCCTCTCTCTCTTTTTCATTCTGTCCCTCTCTGGTCAAATAAAAAAACAAATAAAGTTAAATAAAACAAGTCTTTTTATTTATTTGTTTTATTTATTCATTCATTTTATTTTATTTTGACCAGAGAGAAACACAGATGGAGAGAGAGAGAGAGAGGTAAAGTGAGAAAGCAAGCCACCAGGTGCGGGACTATCAGCCATGTGGGAGTGTCCAATGCCCTAACCGCCACGCCACCTGCTGGTCCCCAATAAAATAATTCTTAAAAAAGAAGATTTCTCTTAAAAAGAAAAAAATATGGGCTAGCCAGTGGCATGGTGGTTAGAGTGGCTGAATCCCACATGGCCCACCGTGTGCTTCAAGCTTGAACTTGGCCTGGCATTCAGGCCTCCATATCCACATTGTAGAATTAAACACCTCCAACCTCACATCCTAGGACTTCTGGAGAAATAAAACATCTGCTTCATACTTCTCCTTGTCTTCTGAACATAGCATGTACTGTGTATTCCTTCTTGTACCTTTACTCACATCATTTTCTCTACCTGATTTTCCCTCTACCTTCCTCTTGTTTTTTTTTTTTTTTCTCCAAATCCACTTTCTACCCTCTAAGGCCCAGTTCAAGTTTATGTTCTAGGTCCTCTTCTGTCAAGTATTCCCTTACTATCTCAGTTCTGAGAGCTCACTCTCTTGTTTTGATTTGCTATAGTGTATGTGCTCTTCCCGATAGACAGAGAGGGGGAGAAAGAAAGTGAGAAAGCACCCACCCCCCGGGGGGAATGACCACACTGCGATCTCTTCTCTTCTACTCTCTTCTCATGATTTTGGGCCCACACATGTAGCCAACATATTTTCAAGCTGTCGGGTCCAAGGTTCTAACAACGAAGTTAGCCATGTGGGATCCAGCAGCCTTAACCACCATGCCACTTGTCTGGCCCCCTCAGAGATCTAACTTCCTTCCTCTTAACTTCTATAATATATATCTATATCTATATATATGTTACAATCTTATATACCTCATATTATCTTACAACCCTGACATCTAGCACAAGGATTCGCACTCAGTAGGTAGTCTATGGCTATTTGTTAATGCAAATATTAATGAAGAATCAAGTGCACATAACATAGAACCTAAGAGGTTTCCAGCACCTCCTCTAACAACCAGACACACTTTACATCCATCATATCCAACACCTCCAACCATTTCTTTTTCACGAATTATTGTAAGCCTATCACCCTGAATTCAGGTTACTTTTCCATTCCAACCCTTAATATCCCCAGGCTCTGGAAGACAACACCCAGTACTCACAGTGAACTTTATTTGGATTTGTCTGTTTCCGACGGGACATGTTTCCCTGATCTGAGAGCTCTGGCCTGTCCCAGTTTCACAACTGGATATGTTACTACTTCCTTGCAAGGTGCTAACCTACAATATAAAAGGATACTATTAGCACAAGTCATTTTTTCCCCATAAATTATACAAAATTTAAAACTAAAGACTTTAAAAAACATAGCTCCTAAGCATATAAACTCACCAGTTATAAATAAATGAAAGAAAATAAATAAATAAATCTTTAGTGAAACGTCAAGGTCCCGTGAAGCTAAAGAGGGGACCCCTTCAGAGGATTTAGAGAATTCCACTCTTTGGAATCCAGAATACTGTTAAGTGGTTATGATCAGGTCACAGGATAGAAAAGGAAGCAAAATTCAGGCAACCCAGGTTAGAAGTACTGCAGGCTCAAAGGGACAATCTCCGTGAAATGTAAAAAGAAGTAAAAGAAAGCCAAAGAGGGTGGCCGTGCACATGCCACCTGCCTTCTGGGAGTCAAGCCCTGTGATCTATACCAATGGAAGCCTCTAGAGGGTTTTTTCCCTAAGAAGTTATCTTACTCGGAGGTAACAAAAGTTTCATATCCCTGTGAGATGGGAAACATCTCAAAACTCTTAGACATCTATAAATAAAAGCAGTATGAGATCCAGTCTTCATCTAGACTTAGGCACAGTGTTAGACACTGCGGATGACAGGGCACTTAAAGCAAATCGAACTTCCAATGCTGAAGATGGGCTCTCACCACCAGAAGAGGCAGATGCCCACCACACTGGCGAGTACCAGTTCAACACCCCAATGTGGAATACCAACCCAGCCCTGCTCACGTGTAATGGAGAGGTGGTCAAAGTCAATAACTTTAGAGCCTCTTCGCAGTCCAGCCTCTGTGTAGCAAAGAGACCAGTGGGAGGAACCAAGGGAAGAGCTCCCCAAACAAGCTGCAGACACATGCATCTACCCCCATACAGGAAGAGACAGATACTTAAGCCTGGAGGTTCCTGACTAATTCCAGAAAGACTGTCCCCGCTGTAAGCACTGTTAGAGAATCTGAAATAGATTAGTAATAGAAACTGTGACTTTTCATGAAGATAGAGTGAAGAAACAGAAATAGAATAAAAGAGATAGACTCTCTTTCCTACCAAAGATAAGAATATGGATTTGGTCACTAAGTTTTCTTTCACTTTCTGCTTTCTTGAATTGTACTCACATTTAAAAAGCAAATAGAAAATGATAGTTTTTTACCCTGAGAAGTTATGAGAGGCTACACTAGCTGTACTCTGCCCTCCAATTAACGAAGACTCACCTCCTGTTATGCCAACCAACTCCTCTATGTAGCTAGAAAGGACCTCAAACCTGTAATCAGATCCTGCCTCCCCTTACCAAAAGAAAGAAACCGCAAATGGCAAAGACAGGCCTCCACAGGAAGTGGCAAAGGAAGCAGCTTTCAGGCAGTCTTCTATCATATCTGCATATCAAACCCAGTTCTTTTCAGACCTTTAATTAAAACAAAAACAAAAAGAACTCCAAATGTATACAGTAAAAATAATTTTTAGTTGTTTAGAGGGCAGTATATCAAGTGCTAGTGTAATGGTATCTGTTCTTTATTCTAAGTTGTGTGTCTATCACTTTTTTCTAATCAAGCGGCTTTTCATGGAAACAGTGAATTATCACGCTTCAGATCTTTCTTAGATGTCTGTGGAATCACAAAGTGGAAAGGTGAATGAAACACAGGTTGTCTATTCATTTTTCTAAAATACACTTCTCTATTGTACAAAGAAAAAATGGAATTTAGATTGATCTCTTCATTTTCTCCCCATCAAGACCAGAAATCAACACTGTGGACTACGGTTGTAATAAAGTTTCTTCTGAAGGAAGGCCAAATATATAATGTGAGTCAGGTTATATTCAGATCATCCTGGCCAGGTAACAGTCCAGTACCACAGCTACAAGCCATTAAGCAGAGATCAGCATCTGCATACTTAAACTGGCAGTGTCCACTGCTTCCCAGTCCTCCTAGTGGCTAAATAAGGAAGTGACCAGATGGTACTCAATGGGACTTCACACCTGAGGGATCAAGAGAAAAATAAGCAAATACCCCCCCCCCTTCCTCTAAACACCACACAAAAAAAAACACCCACCAAAAATGGCCTGTGTGGTCATGGACGCTTGAGAAGAAGTAAGGAAATAAAAGGCAGTGAAAAGACACTCTGGACCACATAACAAGATCTCGGAGGTTAGACGACTGTGAATAGGCAGTAAAACCCCCGACGGCCGGAAGGTCACTCATTCCGTGTTCGCTTTTAGTACCGCCTCCGTTTTCAAGCCCAAATCTGAAAGCAACCCCTCAAATGGAAATGGATAGTCGCCTGAGCGTCACCATCCAGAAGACAAACAGGATGAGAAGGAAGGAAGAGGAGCTTCGGATCTACACGGTATTCGGTTTAAAGAAGAAAGCAGCTTAGTCCGTCTTTAGAGCGAGGCTGCAAGTCCTTGGGAGGGTGCAACGTCTCCCCTGAACACGGTCTGCTCTCCCACAGGTGTTAGGTTGCAGCTTCCAGGGCACGCCACACTTTGGCAAGAAAAAAAACCAAAAAACAAAAAACGGGTGAAATCCCTGCTTTAAGAAAAGAGGGCGCGCTCCCACCTTAGCTCTGGTGCAGTTCCCACGGAGCAAAGTAAACTCGCCTGAATCCCAGTGTTTTGTGTCTGCCAAAAAGGAGAGGAAAAGATAGCTGGTCACGCAGCCGCCTCCCGGGTCACCCTGTCCCCCCCGGGGAGGTCTGGAGCCTGTGTGTAATCTGCCGAGATGCTCTGGCTGCTTCCAGCAAGAGCACAGGTAAATTCCCAGAAATTCCCAGACCAGAGCCTGAGGTCTCCCGAGGCGGCTCAGACAAACCCTCAGACAGCAGTCTTCGCCGAAATCTAAATTTAGAATTTTCTGCAAGACCAAGACGCAGGGACCGATACCCGGGTCTGCACTCCCACGCCCATCCTCCCCTCCCCCAGCTCCACCCAAGCCTGTCAGACGCCGGGGCGGTCCCTGCTGTGGCCGCCCCGGGCCCGACGAGGCCGGCGGACCTGGGCCCACGCCGGGAGAGCGGCGGCGCGGACGACCACTCCGCGCCCGAGGCCGCCGGGGAGCAAGAGGAACGGCCGGGAGAGCTCGGGGCGGTGGACTGGGCCGCCGGAGGGGTGAGCCGTGGTGCCCCCGCCCCCTCCCCAGACACAGACAGACAAAAGGACCGACAGCCAGCGAGAGCGTGCCGCGGGGCTCCCGCATCCTCAGCCTGGCCCCAGACGGAAGGACTTGGGGGTCTTTTTACCCGGCGCCTAGGCGCTCCGCTGCGCTCCGGGTCCCTGGGCCCCGCCTCCGGACAGACGGACCGCGGGACAATGGGCCCCGGGCCGCAGCTTGGGCCGGCCGGGGCCGGGCACTCCC